TTCTCTTCCTTGAGTCTTCCTACAGAATCTGGGCTTACTTTCTGGGCAATAAAGACGAAGTTTTCAAGTGGTGGAGTAACACAGTCCAGTTGCGTTTTAAGGTCACTTTGGCAGGAACGTGAAACTGAGAAGACACGTGTTTGGAGAAGGATGGCCAGTCAAGAGGTCGCTGCAATAACCCAGGACAGAGAATTCGACCCCAACGTTTGCCAAAATCATTAGAGGCAAAGGTGAAATTTCATTAACTGGAACAGCTTCCTTGAAACCGTCTCTTGTCCTCTTTTTCCAATGGAGAAAATTCTCTAACTCACTTTACTGGAAAGAATGTTATAATTCATCAAAAAGAAATATCACGGTCTTGTGGCCTTTCAAAATGCTATACTGAAGAATTTTAAAGATGATTTTTTCACTGCTGAAGGCATTCAGAGATAGATCCTTTAGGTGTTTGCCCATGCAGCAGCTGAGTAAGATGGAGGCTGTATCCAGTCTGGGGATGAGAAGTTCCCTAGCCTGCGACGGGACTGTCCCATTAATCCCTGGGGGCAGAAGGTGATGTGGAGGGGCACAGAAAGATGGGGGAAGGGTTAGAGGGACAGACAGAGAGAGAATGAGCGGGAACTTGCTGATGAAGAGAGGAGAGGTAGAGGAAGAAAAAGCACATTCACGGTGGCATTTATTTACACACAGGTTTTCACCACTCTAGCTTGAGGTTTAAGGGTCAGACCAAAGTAAAAAGAATTTTTTTCTAATTCAAATTCCTCTTAAAATTAAAAATGCTGCCTCTTCTCTTAATTGGACATACACAGAAACATACATAAACCTAATAGACATTTTAATGTCTCAATTAAAGGTAATGAAATAAAAATTGAATTGGAAATGGAGTTTAAATATCTGAAGTTCTATATGTAGGGAGTTTTAAGTCACCTGGGTTAGTCCTTTTAATGATACTGAAGTGTTGAATAGTACATCCAATGAATCATTATGCTTGAATAGAACATTTAGCAGGCTAACTCATCTTGGCAAGAATAACAGCCCATAACCCCTAAGGAAGTATCTTTTAATCTTAATGGGTTGGGAGTTAACAAAAAGTAAATTACCACTCTCCAAAATGAGAATCTATTCTGAAGTTGCCACTGCAGAAGATAAAACAGACAATTCTGGAGCAGCTCCAAGGAAGCTATCACGAGTGCACTGATCATTCAAATGAAAGGCCCTGCTTTAAATGAAAGACTTGGCTCTCCCTCCTGTGTACTTACTTGAACATAAAATGACTGAAAAAAAGCTTCATGTTATGACCAGTGTACTTTTAGACACACAGGACTTAGTGCAAGTTCTTCCTTCGGAAAGTATAATAACGTTCCCACGAATACAATCAGCAAGGGTGCCTGTTCCATGAATAACCGTTTCCATGCAGTAAGCAGTCAAGAGAGAGAAAGAAGATGCAGGTGGCAAAACAGTCTTCATGAAGGAAGCGTTAAGAGAAGAAATGGCACTTCAAAGGGCACTGGAGTGGACAACAGGAGAAGCGGGTGACCGTGCAGTATTGCTAACGGCCTGCGTGTGCTTGGAGAAGCCCCTTGACCTCCCTGGGCTTCAATGAGCCCAAGTGAAAACGAGGACAACGAAGCGAGGACCGTAAGATTTGCTGTGCCTCCAACAGTCCTAACTCGGGGGGCAGGGCGAGGTTGCCCAAAACTCCTGCGGTGGCGTGCGCGATGTGCAAAAGCACATTCCAAAATTACAACTGCTTTGATTTATTTTTAATCTTGATGATTTATTTTGGGAGTTAAAATAAAATTAGTGAAGGGGATTTTTATGAAGCAAAAGAGACACGTGTTAAAGGTTTAGAAACATCTCTTCCAGTAAGAGCAAGAGCTGTTGCTGAGTCATACTGAAATACCAAACCGTGCAGGATCTTGTAACTACTTATTTCTTGCTTAGTAAAAATTAAACAAACAAAAATGCTCACGGACACTTTGACAGTCATTTTGGGGACGGTGGTGTTAGTCTCCACAGAACGTTACCAGATAATACCCACAGACTGTGCTGAGAACCCTGCATGAAGCCAGAGGCTGTCTGACTCAGGAGCTGCAATAGGCTTTCGATCTAGGTATGCCTATGTGTACTCAGCAGCATCATCTCACCCTGGGCCCGGCAGCGACTCCGGTACGTGGCCGACATAGATGAAAACATAATCAGAAGGCAAAGAGAGAGTGGGCCCTACTGACACTAATCCAGCCATATTTAAAGCCAGCTTTTCTGTGGATTTTTCAGTCTTTGGACCAATAAAATCCCATTTTTTGCTTAAATCACATTGAATCAGATTATTTACTTTGAATGGAAAGATTCCTCATTCTGAGGATAAATTCGGTAAAGAAGCTCCTCACTTCATTAACCAATTTGAGATTTTGCTGTATACATAATACGAAAATACCACATGTGAGATTTTTGCTTAGAAACGTATAATTGCAGCTCGGACACCAAAGCTCACTTTTTCTAAGCCACGATAAAGTGAGCAAACCAGAAAGATAAACAGGCTATGAAAGCTACGCCAGTGACGGTCTGAACTCTAATCAGCTCTTCCTGAACACGCAAAGCTAGATTTATGCCTTAGTGCTGAAGCTGCCACATTCTAAGCTGCTGATGCCAGTAAGAACCCCTGGTGCAGAATGTGGTGCTAGGTGATAACGACCGCAGAGACTGCCCACTGGAGCACTGCATAAACTGCAGCAGCGCCAGCTCCCAGACTGCAGTCGCACGGAACTACAGGTACCACCCCCCACCCCTTCACAGCCCAGACCGCAAGTATCTGCAAAGAAAAACACGGGGGAAAGTGAGCCATCCACACACAGCACAGAGAACAGCCATGGAGGAGGGGAAAAGTGAACGACCAGGTTTTGGGGTCGACTTTTCTCTATTCAGGGTCAAGCCCTGAGCTTCTATATTGCTATTCTGGATATTTTCATTTGACAGTTGTATCTAGTTGGCGCACTTACTTGATTTATATATGTCTTCTGTCTGCCTAGCCATAGTGTGAGCCCCGTGAAGTTCTGGACCTAACACCGTGTCTGACACAAAGTAGATGCTCAGAATATATGTTAGAAATTATCAAAATGTTCAACACTTGGCTAGTAATGAGTTCATTGTGCAATGAATAATTCTGCCTTCCATGCTTAAAATTAATAATAATGACCATTTACTGAATAGCTCCAATGTGCCAAATGATGTGCTGAAAACCATTTATTTACATAAATGATTTAGCTCATCTATTTACACTGAATTTATCCTAACCAGGAAGTGTAACTCAAGTAAGAGAAAAGATCATGCTTCTTCCTTACTCTTCCCATTACTGGACTTTCATAGAAACAGAACAAATGCATGAAGGCTCAGGGTGGCGCATCGTTGCTCAACCTGAGAAATACTTCCAGAAGGGGCAGAGCTGTTCCACAACGGCCACTAATGAGCTGCCTCCGGAGGAGCTGAGTACTGGAGGACACCAAGCTGAATTTCAACTATTAGGCACATTATAGAGATGATGTAAGCACTGCAGGAGCCGTTAACATAGTCAACCAGAACCGGAAAGTATCCTAGGCTCCGCCCATGAGCCTGCGAGTCCGGAGAAGCAGCTGCATTAACTGTGAGCAAGTCCTGTCTTTCCTTATTTATAAGCCTGGGCTACCCCCCAAGATATGCTACACTTATCTTAAAATGCTTGCAACCTTTCCTCTTGAAAATACGAAAGAGTTATGTTATGTTGGCATTCATCTGGTCTACAGGTGCAGGACACGTAGGAGGTAGATCTGAGTGCACCTTTGGTGCCTAAATATTCGCAAAGTGCAAGATTGGGGAATACAGGGAAAATTAAAGCAGCAAAGTAGATAATCCCCCCACTACTATGAGCCCTTGACTCTGCCGCCTCCTACCCCGTCATACGACTGATTCTGTGGTTTCTGGTGTTATGTTGGAAGGGAAACTACATGTGTAGTTGGGAGACTACGTAAAGCTGCACTGCAGTATCTTTGCAACCACTTGAGTCTTGGTGAAAAATACACACCTCTGAGACGGCTTTGAGGCACTGCATTACAAAACGGCACCTTAGCTTCATTTGCTTTCAGCTCTTTGACTGTTTGGTGCTGATTAAATCTCCCAAGTGGTTTGCTGGCCAGGGAAAATAGCACGTGTAAAGGTCCAGCAGGAGAGAAAGCAAAGTGGGGATGGGAAAGTGCAGGATATTCAGGTGGCTGGAATGTGGACTATGAAGTGAGGGAGTAGAAAAATGTGAAAATGGAAAAATAAACAGGGCCAAATCAGGAAGAGTCTTGTTATGGAGTGTTTACTTCAACCTAAGGGCAGCGGTCAGTCGCTGAAAGACTTAAACAGAGGAGAGAAGTGGTCAGATTTGTTAGATATCTTGTTTCAATTACCGTATAGACAATGAATTGAGAGAGAGGAGAGGATGCAAGACATTGAGAGGAAGAACAGTTAGGAAGCTGTTACCATAAGCAGACAAGAGAAGACGGTGGCTTAGACTGCAGTACTTAGCGGTGGGGTCGGAGACAGGTGGACAGATTCAATATGTATTCAGTAGGTAAAATCATCAGGACTCGGTAACAGACCACAAGTGGGGCATGAGAGAAAGAGAGGAGTCAAGGACGATCTTAAGATTTCTGGCAAGGTCAACTGGGTAGCTCACGGTACCATGCAGTGAGACACACACAGTAGTAGGGGTTGAGGGGAACGTGATTCTGTTTGGAACATGTCATGTCTGAGATGGCCACATGACATCTGAGTAGAGATGTCCAGAAGGTAACTGACAGGTCTGAACGGGAGGTATGAATGCTCATTCACACTAATAATAACGTGCTCATTAATGTACAGACCATAATTGAAACCGTGAGAAACGATAAAATTATTCAAACACGAGAAGTGGATCAGAGGTCTAACAACCCATCACGGTCTGACGGCATCTGAAGATGTCAATTCTAATACCACAGGCTCACCTGTTGACAAGGCCTCCTCCCGAACTTCATCCTCACCAGGCTGATGAATATTCCAGGATGTTTTGGGAAGTGAAAAAATTTCCTCAGGTGATGCTAACTTCACCATATCCATGTGATTGCTCTGGAACTGGTACCGGGGAATAAAGCAAGTTTTGCCTTGTTGAAAAATGTCCTTGATGATCTCTTCTGTCTCGATTTCATCTTGCATGCTCAGAAAGATGGAAATTCTTTTGGACTTTTGATACTGACTGTGGGCAATCACCTAAACGGAAAATGATGGCAATTACATTTTCCAAGATTATACTTTCAAAAATTAGTGACTCTTCTCAAGTTTTAACACTTTCTCCTTACTTTCTCAGCCTTCTCCAACTTACTTAAATATCAGGAAACAAAAACAAAAACAAAAACTCCAGCAGAGTGGTATAATGGGTCAACGTTACATCCTGCAACCTAACTTTTGGTTCTGAACGCGACACTTAGTTCTCTGATCCCTTTACACTTCTCTGGAACACCGACTTTGTAGGTGCGAAAATCATCATGAAGTCACTGTGGAGCCCTGTTGTCTATACAGAGAACAGACATCTCCCCATTGTGGCAGTCTTCAGCCATCTCACACACCTCCTCTACAGTCTGCGTTATTTTAACTCTGAGCCTCGGCCCCCACAAACTTCTTCACTCCTTGTCAGGTTTCTCTCCTAAATTTTACCGATTTAAGCCCAACTCAAGCCCTAACTTTTTCTGACTTCTGCAAAACGCTTACTACATTTAGAGTTAATACACAACTTAACATTTATATATCGTCAGGAGTTGATTACTATTTGTTTCATGTGCCTTAAATGTGGTATTCTAATCAGTCTGTAAGCTCCCAGGAGGCAGAGAACATGTCTAATACTTCTCTCAGCTCTAATCACCTCCAACCTGTTTCCTAAAACTCTTCTGCTTAAATGAATGTTAAAATGTGCACAAAAATGGGAGGCGGGGAGACCTTACATAGGCAAAGTCCTTCTAAAAGCAAGTGCCAAGCTTATGAGAAGGTAGATCTGGGTTAAAGAATCTCATATTCCATTTAATCATTCATCAGGTAGGAGAAGGGGGCTGAGTTTTGCTTAATAGAGAAAAACAATGTCACGACTTCTCCAGACTCAGAAGTTAGCTCTCAGCTACCTTTCTCCCACTTCCTTTTCTGTTCTCTCATCTTCTGTGAGCTTAAGAGAAAAATATAGTGCAGAAGTGGCTTATAAATATGACTGGCAGAAAAATACAGATTCAGAAAGTCGAGCTTTCCTAATAAAAAAAGAACACAGAAAGTTTAAGTAAATAGTGCACATCAAACCAGTGTTAAGGAAGGAAAATAACTCCATCTTCTGAGAAGTTACCAAGCTGTTAGGCCTGAAATAGGCAAAGCAAATGTAAATGTGAAACCCTTGGGCAGATCTGGGCCTTCTGGCACCCAAGCACTATCTGAGGATGTTAAGTGTCTCTCTTGTTCTCTTTAAAGCAGAATATAGAAAATCAAGAGCTGAATAAGCAGTAATAAACATCAGTAAAAATTCACTGTGAGACTGTGCATACATTTATCTTCCTCAAATCTCATTTATGTGGAAGTAAAGAAGAGAATAAGACAACAGAGATCTGACTAATTTCTGAAAGGCAGAAAGTGGAAGAGACAATATTTACAGACAAAACAGCAGCAGACCACAGCACTCAGAGATGGTGGTGGATGCAGTGCAGGCAGAATCCATTCCTCTTGTGGAACCTCAAAATGACTACAAGAGGCAAAGCAAACCCCCATTAGCTATAACACCTCCATTCATTAATATGTACAGACAATAAAGACTCATCAAACATGTTAGAAAATACAAAATAAAAAGATAATTAAAATTAAGATTATCAAAATTAAAACATTTCAGGAAAAAAACCTTAAAGGGAAAAGACAAAGAAATGGGGAAAATGAGAAAAAATATTAAGACATAGAAAATCAATTTAGGATTTTTATTATTTGATTAAGAGGAGTTGCAGAAAGGCACAGAGGGAAAAAAAGTAAGCAAAGATATAATAAAGATACCAGTCTTAAAACTAAATAGAGGTTATGGATGCTGAGCAGAACAAGGAAAAATAATTTTAAACTTGAAATTCAAACTATCAATTAAATACGAAGGTAAAGATATTTTCTAAGGTATAAAGTATTAAGTTTACCTCCAAAGATAATTTCTTAAAAAACAGCCTTTACTCAGAAGTGGAGCAGGAGAAAACTCTCAGGTAGTGGCTATGCAGTGGGTACAAAGGCAACCAGACCACAGCGAGCAGGGGGCTGCAGTGCTTTCAAGAAGAAAGTAGATTTAACAGACACAATGAAAAATCTACTGATAAGATAAAGGCATAATCTTGTTTTGCCAGAAATGAAAAATAAAGGTAACCAGAAACTCCTGGCCAAAAGTTAAAAGTTTATACTCCAAATAGGAATGAACTAAAACAAGGGGCAAGTTCGAGCAATTGCAGGGCATAAGGGAAAATATTTGGTATTGACACTTGAAACATTTCCTTCCTAGCATAGAACTAAATGTTTTTCTTAGATATTCAATCACACAACTTGGTTGTACAGTAAATACTATCTATGTAACTAAAATACAGTAAGTACTATTTACACAAATTTCAAATTTGGAAATCAGCCACATGAAATGCTCAACAATCATATAGAACAGAGTGCAAATATTATAAAATCTGACAATTTAAGCATAATGACAAAGTGGGTAAAAGGTCACTACTTTCCTCATCTTACTTAGTTGGGGAGTCAAGATATGGCACAAAGCTGAATTTCTTTACATTAGTTTGCTGATAAATTTCCTAAATACGAAAATAGTTGTGTTATTAAGAATATGTTTTATTATTATTATTTTTTAATTTGGGGGAGAAAAGCATTATTTAATAGCATTACTGAACATGCACTATGGCAAAACACTCTTTTAAAAAGTCACAATACCTTGACATTTGGGGCCTTGAACCATAAGTTGGACATGAAATCAATGGTGGGTTACAATCAGCATTTTTAAATGAAATAGAAAATATTAAAGTCCTTTGTAAGAGCATTTGAGATGGTCCCCAGCACATGTCATCAGTTTGGCTCAAATGAATTCTTATAAGAAAAAAATAATAAAAAATGAAGTTCCTTGTGAAACATTATGTTGTAAAACATTTCTCATACGTTGAGACAGGATGTTGAGGAAGTCACACCATTACCTTGACTTAAAACGAAATTACTAAATTACATATGGTGTCAGATGGGTGCCTGACTCATAGGGGTGATTTACTTTGTAAGTTACATAAATGTGTACACCGGAAACTGATATAACACTTATCACAGGAACTGAAAAGTAAATTTAAAAAATACATCGATTTTTCTATCCAACCACAATCAGGCCGTAGATACTTTTTGAAGAGGACCTTTTAGGAGGGGACCCGCTACGTGTCACGGTGGAGAAAACTGACACCACAAAACATGCCACCAATGGGCTCGTCCTGTGAACGGAGCAACACAAGGCTGCCACCCACAGACGCGTGGCCTCGCTCCGGCCCCCAATCTCTGCCCTCTGTCGCCTGGGGCAGCGCGAGCACGGGACTCGCTCCTCTTTCATTAATCCAGACAAGCACGTCGCCACCACGCCGCGGCCTCCGGCCAGCCAGGGACACGCTAGGCCCGAGGATGGGCCGCAGGCCGCGTCCTCGGCTCCCACTGGTCCTCTGTCCTGCCTTCGCCCCTGAACGATCCTCGTGTGACACAACTGCTTGTTTCCCGCCTGGTGTCGTGACAGGAGTGCCCGGCCTGCGCCGCCTGGGCCCGCGCCGCCCCCACCGGGTGCGCCTGCCCGCACCTGCCCTTACCTCGGCGCCTCGGTGGCCCCGCTGAGCTCTCGCCACCATGGACGCCACCCCCCACCACACTGCCCTCCCCGGGAGGAAGGAGTCACCCCGCTGCCCTGTGACTAGCCCCGTCCTTCTCCCGGCGCCGCTCTGCTGCCGACGTCGTGCACCAGAGCGTCCCGACACGCGGCACAGGACGTGCGCGCGCCGGGGGAGACGTGCGCACGCTGAGGGGGACGTGCGCGCGCCGGGGAGACGTGCGCACGCTGAGGGGGACGTGCGCGCGCCGGGGTTCTGCGCCTGCGCAGACCCGCAAGCCTGTGCCGCGCGACCGTGATCGCTCCGGCCCGGTTCGCCTTGGCCCATGTCCCGGCGGCCGCGCACCTTCTGGGTCAGGAGGCGGGACTGGCGCAGCCGCTCCTCGGCGCTCACGGTCCGCAGTCGCTGCTTCAGTTCGGCCCGCAGGCTGCGCTTGGCGCTGCGCACGGCCGCCGCCGCCATGTCAGGTGCGGGCCACCCTCAGGCCCCGTGGGCGTCGCTGGTCCGCGGCCCGAGAAGATGGGGAGGAGGGGGCGGCTTCCGGATCCCGGGCGCCCCGCCCCCGCCCCGCCCCCGCCAGGGCCTCGGCCGTCCCACGGGGTTGCAGGTGGAGTGGCTGGGTCGCTGCCCCTTCCCAAACCAACACCGGGTTCTCCTCTCTTGCAGGGCACCTTCGGGGACCAGCTCCGTGCGCGGACAGGCCCCTGTGGGGCCGATGACCCCTCCCATGTTGACGGGGCAGAGTTCAATGGGTAACTAAGTGGAACTCTAAAATAATTGCGAGTTTAGAGAAAATTGAGTAAGCTTTATGTCAATCAACTTTAGTCAAGTGGGCATGGAAACAAAAAAACATTGAAAAATAGCGAAGGAAACACTGAAAACTAAAGACCACAGGGGGAACTAGCCCTTCCAGACATTAAAACGCACCGTAAGGACTATAATCAAAACAGTGTGGCTCCCGCTGCTTGAATACACAACCGGAGCAGTAGAACAAGAGGAAGCACAGAAATACACCCAAGGCCACGTGGAAATTTTGTATATGATAAAGGTGGCATCTCAAGTCACTAGGACAAGCACGAGCTTTTTAATAAATCACTTTAATTCAAAATGCATCAAAGGCCTAAATACAAGAGCTGAAACGAAACTATTGGAAGAAAACATAGGCATACATTGTCATCGCCGTGGATTGGGCAGAATAGCTTCTTAGTTGTAATGTTAAGGGTGGAAAATTTTCAAATGCGCCAACTAGCTAGCTAACTGGCTATAGGGAAGAAATATCTTTAGATACCAGAAGTTGTCCTACTTGCTTGTGTGTGGTTTAGGAAGTGTATTGTAGAAGATGTGAAGATGGCCAATGTCTGCTTCTGTGATCCATTTACTTGTTAATTAAGGGTGTTGTTCCGGGCAAAGATACGCTAACAGCCAACTTCCACTTCTGTAATCTGCTGGCTTGTTCAGGAGACCACCAGGTCTTAAGCTTTATCAGCTGCCTCCTCTGAAAGCTCGGGGCTGATCTCCTCTAGCCCTGCGTGGTAGAGAGTCAGTCGTCGGCCGGCTAATAAAAGCTCATAATTAATCTCAATTGGCTCCGTGGGTCTTAGAATCGTTCGCACCATAATAGTAACACCGAAAACACAAGCAACAAAGGAAAATTCATCAAAATTAAAAACGTACACTATTAAGAAAATGAAAAGATAATCTACGGAATGGGAGGAAATTATATATTTGGAAATCATATATTTGCAAACCATATATTGCAAATCATATATTTAGTAAGGGGCTTGTATCCACTATGTATAAAAAACTCTTGCAGCTTACCGGTAAATCACCAGATAGTCCACGTTTAAAATCGATAGAAGGCTGGAATAGACATTCTCCACATAAAATATACAAATGACCAATAAGCACATGAAGATTTCAACTTTATCAGTCACGAGGGAAATGCAAACCAAAACCACAGATACACCACTTCACACCCACTAGTGTGGCTATAATAAAATAAACAAAAAATAAACATGTTGGTGACGATGTGGAGAAATTGAAACACTCATACCCATGGGACTGTAAAATGCTACAACATGGCTGGACCTTGAAAATTGTACGTTAAGTAAAAGAAGCCAGACACAGAAGGCCGCTTATTGTACGATCCCATTCGTTTGGAATGTCTAGAACAGGGAAATCCGAAGACAGAAAACAGATTAGTGGTTGTGTGGGGCTGAGGACAAAGAGGAGTAGAATATAGGATTTCTTTGGGGGATATGAAAATGTCCTAAAATTAGACTGAGGTGATGGCTGCACAGCACTGTGAATATACTAAAAACCACTTGAACTGTACACTTTCAAAAGGTGCATTCAATGCAAATTATATCTCCATAAAATACAAGAAGGCGATAAAAGAAACACATGTTTCGGGGGAAAAAATACAGTAAGCATAAACCAGAAACTAAAGGAGTGGGTAAGAAAAGGGTGGAAGGCATGGGAACATGGGAACGGAGTAGCAGCGATGAGGACGAGTTGACTTTTCTCTGACGGCACTTTTTTGTCTCTCTCTGGCTCTGGGAGAGCCATGGTAATGTTTTACATACAGACATGCAGCCAGGGTGTGGAGGGGAACCCAAAAGGGAAATCCGAGCAGGGACAGACAAACTGAACTATATTGTAAATGGTTAACATAACCACCAGGGGGTGCAGAAGAAAGGAGCTTAAGCAACTTTAGAAAACAGTATTTTGACTGCATGCTGTAGGGCTGAAGACAAAAATAACTTCACGCAGATATTGCACTCTAGTTAGTACGTCGAGTTTTCATAGGGTTATCAATTGGCAATAGGGCAACTGCCACGTAGAAGGGAAACCGCGATGCAGAAGAGTGAGGTTGGAGAGATGTTCCCGCAGCGGCAAGAAGGAACGGGTCTAAGACACGAGTGCAGGGCTTGGACTTCGAACAACTGATCCGATGTAACAGGAGGGAAGGAAAACATACCAGGTGCAGACGCGGCGTAGGTAAGTAAACACGGTGGGGAGGATATGTGGAAGTTCTCAGTGAAATAGGAAGCAAGGTCGGTGGGAATTAAATTGCCTACATGAATTGTGTTGCAAGTGTCTATAATAAACTCTTCCTGTATGTACATTCTGTTGCTCAAACGGCACAGTCATCGACCTTCAACTTTCAGCACAGTTTTGGAGTTGGGTTCTCATGGGTTTGGTTCTCACGTGAGATTTACTCTGGTAAGGCAATAAATGCCAGCCGTAGGCTCAGTCGGCCGTCTTGAAAATCCTTTGGTCCTAAGGCAGATGAATCGGAGAAACCCGTCAACGCTGTGGAAAAGTGACCTAGCCATCGGCCGTCCTCATGTTGTGCGCCTAAGAGCATCTTCCAGCAGAAATAGCCGCACGAGCTACCGGTTACGAAGGGTTTGTTTTATTTTCGTGTTTTCTGTGATTACACAAAGCAGCCTTTCCCTGTCAGCAGGCTTCCCCCTCTGCTAAGTTTCCAGATCCAAACAGTGACAATCAGTTTTAAGTTAGGCGCGTCTACGGGGCGATTCTACAAGCCCAAGTACTACCGAAGATAGGGAGCACCAGGAGCTCTCTTCAGCCGTCGGTGGGAAGTCGTCTGACATGTCTAATAAAGGGGGAGGGCGAAGATACTCACCTGGCTGCTGAAGACCCATCAGTGGGGAAACCAGCTTCGCCCAGCTGACCTTGACACGGTTTCAGCTTGTGAAAGGGATGGGAAGGAAGTAGAGGGTGTGAGCGGCACCACGCGATCGGCAGGAAGTTCTGCAGCGAGAGAGAGAGAGGCGGCTGGGGCAGAGGGGGCCGGCATGCGCCGTGGGTCCATGTGACCCACCCACCCGACTCATGACCTTGGACAAGTTTCTTCCTGCTTCTAAGCCTGTGTCCTCAAGAGTGAAATGGGGATAATACCTACAACTTTCTAGGAAAGGTCACGTGAACCCCAAGGGGCAGAGATGGTTGCGGGGCGGGGAGAAGGAAGAACAGGCACGGTGCTCCCATGTTGCAGTCAAATTTGCTGACCTCGAAATTGGAACATGGGGGTCCCACAAAAGACACAACTTTCTAACTTGCGAAATATTTTCAATGGAAAGTTTGACGATGGCTCAGCATTCAATCATCCTCCTGATTGTCTCTATTCAAATTATCCCACTGAATCCTGCCTATCTGCCTGCCATATCCATCACTTCCCAAGGGCAGGCCAGGGAGCGAAGAGTGGGTGAGGGAGGGCGCCAAGGGAAAACCAAGCATCCGGGGTTCTGGGGCTGACGGGAAGGACGGGGCCGAGAGGGAAGTGGGGAGCAGACTTGACTGTGCAATCTAGACCAGTGACACAGACAAGGGCTTGGGTAATAGGCACGCCCTTAAGAAAATCCGCCACGGGGCAGAAAAGATACCGCCCTCCAGGTCCTCATCCCCTTAACTCAATACCTGTCCCCTGTCTCGAGCTTATCCCACAGCTGCACTCCCAGGCAAGACACATTACACAGAGACAGATACATATGATTTATTCATTAAAATGGGAATAAAATTTCCGTAGCTGGAACGTCAGGTTGCGTCATCGAAGTTGTTTAGAAGTAGAAGTACATGTTGGCAATACCTCTTGTAAGAGTCCAGAAAATTAGGTAGGTTTCGCAATACAGAGTGTCCTTTTCGGTCAATAGTATTGCTTCAGGAGAGAGAGCATTTCACAGATCTTTCCTGTAACTTCCAGAAAAGTCATCCAGCCAGATCTGGGTTCAAACTTCTTTACAAAGCCATTTTCCTATGAGAATAAATTTAACACTTTAAAAATCAGTGGAGAGGAAATCCCCTGCAATTAAAAAGCAAAGAAACTGTCATTTAAATAATGCAGAGGGTTAATCCCCTCTGTTCTTTCGCTAATTTTATTCTGTGCGTCTTCTTCATTGTTCTATCTCCGAGTCCAGGCCACTCTAGGGCAGCACCGTGCAACAGAAACACAGTGCGAGTCACATATGTCACGTTAATTTTTTAGCAGCCACATTTTTAAAAGGAAAAGAAATAGGCAAAATTAATTTTCAAACTCCGTTTGTCTAAAATAAGATGATTTCAACACGTAATCGCTATGAAATTTCTGAGATACTTGACGTTTTTGGTGTCAGAGCTTTACAGTCCGACGTGTACTTCGTGCTCACGGCCGATCCTAGGACAGGCTAGCCGCATTTCAACGGCCCAGCGTCACAAGACTAGTGGCTGCCACGTTGGACAGCAGCGCTCGAGAGGACAGTGTGTCATTTGCTCCCCTCTCTGGGCTGTCTGGCATCGACATACGCACCTTTGTAAACTCTAACGTGCTGAGTCATCGGAACTCGTAATAACGCTAGGTTAAACCCAGGCCTCCAAGCTATGAAAAGGTGGTTGTTTGTCTCTATTGCGGTTCATTCTCTTTTTGATCAGATATAGTGTGGACTGGGGGCTATTTAATTAATGTACGACTCCAAATTACAGAGCATCCTCAGTGTAAAGTACCTCCGAGATCGGCCAGCCTAATGCCCTCTTTTATTTTGACAAACGAGGAAACTGAGGCCAGAAAAAAGTTACCTAAGGTTACCCCACGTCTTAGTGCCTAGACCTGTCTGGGATGCAAACACTGTTCTGTTCACTCCACAGACTTCCGCATCGCCACCAAAAGGATTAGAGAATTGCTAAAATAATTTTTTGAAATGTCCATCTAGTAAACATTTGCTCTGCCGCGAGCCAGCTCCAGATTCTGGGGTTATAGATGCCTTCACGTAGTACACGGCCTCGTGTGACTAAAACTAAACCGAGCATGTCCCTGCAGTCCGAAGACACTTGAAAGCTCTGTGGCATCTTGGAATGGCTTTTGGGGCAGATCGACACCAGTCGGGGGAATTTCCCATTTTCAAGGCTGCCCAGGAAAGCCAGCTTCTGACCGCGGAGTCGTGCTCCCACACGTGCTCCTACACGTGCTCCTCTCGGTCTTCACCTTCCCTGCTGCCCAGACGCACACTCCGGCCACACACCCCTTCGGTGACAAACTCCCGCACTGATGGGGCAGCCAACAGCAATGTCTGTGATCACGTCAGGGATCACCATCTGCTCTGACTGAGCAGCTAACATGGCATCTTATGTACATTCAACTACTAAAGTGTAAACAAGGCAAAAAGGGGAGCTATATGAATATCAGTTTTAAAAAAAACCTATAAAAAACGAAAAGAACAGACTGGGAAAAGATTAACATTTACCATGAAAGAGTTCATTCAAATATCAAGAAAAATCAAGAAAAAACAAGAAAAATCAAGGCCTTAATAGTTAGAAAGGCAAAGACTATTAAAAAGAGAAATATAAAGCATTAACAAGTACGTGGGAAAAAATTCAATATTACTAGCTGTTCAATAAATCCACATTTTTCTACAACCTTACTGTTTTCTAGACCTATTAAATTGGCCTCGTTATGTTGAGTCTATTAAACCCTCAGAATCATGTTGAGTGGCACCACCCAGTGCTGGTAAAACTGCTGTGACTTATGTATACTTATACTCATTGGTAAGTAGTGTAACTGCACCCATACTGACGTGGTGACTGACGTACGCTCACACAATTGGGAATTGGTTAAGTAAATGATGACACTTAACCCCGGTGGAATACGCTGCAGACATTAGAAATGCTATCATGGAACATGTGGGAGGTCGAAAATATCTAACACGATGTTGCAGGAAGACACTCTTGTATATATCTCAACTGTAACTGCATATAATGTCTGCATGCAGCTTTTTCGGGTGGTGGGCGTGATTTTTCCTCTTTCGAAAATATTTTCTAATGATGCTATTTGTATCTTAAAACCGTTATGTAAAAATAAATATACAAAAAAGCATTCGCTATGCCGTCCGTAGTGTAGTATTTATACAAGGATGCCCAGATCTGGTTGTTTCTGGAAATAGTTTATTAAATTCAGCTACTTTGGTTTCAAGAAAGCCGAAAGCATAAAATAACATCCTGTATCATAATGCAAAGAAAATAAGCCCCTTGGGAGTTTGTTTTCAGCTGCGGGGAGACACCGCAGCTTGCTCCCATTTCTCTAGCGATCACGCGTTCATTTCTTCATTCACGTACTCGGTGACTGAGCACCGAGCACATGCTGGGAGATACTGGTGCACTAAACACTTGCTAAACAAACACTTGCCAAACTACCGTCACAGCCTAAATGCCCGTTATGGAGGCCGACGACGGACATGAGAGCAAGTGAACATGGAATGTGGTGTCCAGCCGTGCGGACGGTCACGGAGCATTAGAGCAGGGCCCAGCGGGGAGGGTGGCAGTGCGGGACTGAAATGGGAGGGTGCAGGGGACTCCTGTCGGGACGTGGCTTTGGAGCAGACACCTGAGTGGACGGGAGAAGGGGGCCATGCAGACTCCTGGGGGGAGAAGAGTCCGGGCAGAGGCAACGGCAAGCGCAAAGGCCCCGAGGGGAGAGAGAGCGTGCTTGGCTCACCCAGAGGCTGGATGAGAGGGGCTCACGGAAAACGCCCCCCGAGAGGCGCACAGGGACCAGGTCACGTTGGGCGGGCTTCGTGCACAGTGGTCAGGACTCTGCCTTTTTGCAGAGTTCGCAGGATGAACAGGGTTTGGGAGGGTCTTCATCAGGCCAGGACGTGGTCTAATGCAAGCCGTGAAATATCACTCTGGCTGCTATGTGGAGAATGGACCACAGCAGGGCAAGGGCAGAGGCGGCAGGATCCACAGACGGACTGAAGGGAGCTGAGCTGGGGACGACGCCCAGAGTTACAGAACTGGCGGTTAGGGAGCTTTCCTGAAGGACCCAGGGGACACCCGAGTGACATAGCTCCGGATGTTCCGTGAAACGAGTTAAAATCTCATGTGAAAACTCAAAAGAAATGTAAGAAGAATTTGGCCCCAAAATCTGTCATCAGAGGCTCTGCCAGAATATGTTAGATTGTATCACTTCACTGCTAGATTTAACATCTTTCGGAAATGTCTTCCTCAAACTGAACACTTACGTCAATTACCTGCATGTCTCTTTTTGTCCTTTTATTTGCCTCAAATGGACCAGATCATCATTTAGAGTAAGATGATCATGCTCCTCGTGACTCAGGCTGTCACCCGCTGGTTGCTCAGAGAGCACCAACCGACTGCACGTCCCCGCTCTCAAAGGGGTTTTCTTTCAGTGTTAGAGTGGCTTTAAGAATTACATATTTAAACCTCCTGGACTTTCCGAGCTACACTCCATCGTGTTACCGTATTTGACGGTTTACAAAGCACTCTTCCAGAAACGGTCTTTAGTCTTCTGACCTCCCTTCGAAGGTGGGTATCATTGCCACGGTATCACATCACATCATGTCAGTCACGGGGGCGTCGCGTCGCCCGGTCCATCAACGGGAACTGGTGGGGCGCCTCCTATGCAACACGCCCGACGCCCAGCACGACGTGCAGGCGCGGACCTGACTCCCGGGTGGAGCTCAGGCTGCGTGTCCCTCCCTCTCCCCCAGCGCGGGCGCGGACACGGGGCTGCTTTCCTGCAGCGGGGAAGGGGGACAGCCGCCTGGGGCGAGATGAACCGATCGCCTCGGGGACAGTCTAATGGTTCCTGAGAGCCATCCTCGCCTCGGAATGCTGAAGCAGCTGGAGGATAGCTCGCGCCCTCCCGTCAGACCGTGAGAGCGCCCAGCCGTCCTCGCGCTTCAGATCCGTGGAGGGGACGGGAGGCAATGATGGTAAAGTGGAAGAGGCATAAAAAGAGAGACGAGAAACAG